CGTTAGGGGAGAGGCGAAATCGACACATACTTGAATTTCGATTCATAGCCTGCTTGCCACCATCATTCATCTCTGGATTGATCAGCGATCGATAATGCCTACTGTTTGAGCCGACATTGGTTATTATGCGGCCTTGTTACTTGGATCACGGGTCCACGTCCCATTAGCTCTTATAGGGTATATGCGGTCGTATAACAGCTGCGTTGACCGACGGAATGGAACATAGGCGAGTTCGTTTTGCCTTGAGGCGCCGGGTCTAACGCAGTCTGGTCGACGACAACAAAGTAGCCTTGAACAGTCAATTCCCCTTACCACGGACACAATTAGTCCGCTGATATGCTGCTCTCCGCGGAAGAAAAACCACGTGCGCGGATAGACCTAGGAAGCAAGTCTGGCTGACATAACAAAACTGACAAGTTTCCAGGCTGTACGCGCCCTCCGTAATGGCAGACTACGTACGTTTAGCAGTACTGGGCGCAATGAAGTAAAAACGTCAGAGGTGAGATTAATTTAGAGAACAAGCGAGGAAGATTTATAGAGTAAGAGTAGGCAGGAGAAGCAGTTACAGTGGGGATATTTAGCAAAAAATATGCGGAAGAATTATGATGAGGAGGAGGGGTAAGGAGAGTAAAAATCACAGCCGGAAAACAAGCGGCGGTTAAAAAACACGAACCAACTTACCCGCCAGGGACGAGGGCCAAGTCGAAATTCCAAAAGCCCACCCGTTGATCCGAACTCCCCGATAAGACGCCCTTCTGTAAAGAAAAACGGTAAAAAGATTAGACGATGTCGGAATGGCCCTGGACAACAGAAACCCGATAGTTCGTCCGTCGAATTGGACAATTTTCTAAGTGTGCATAAGACTTGCGTTGCAACGGTCTCATTCATTTCACATGAGAGTTGGACCGTTCAACCAACGAGTTTCACCGCGTGCACCATGCCAGAGTGGCATAGGGACGGTGATGTGCATATGAATTAGATTATAATGAACAGAATTGCGCTGCATCTCATGCATTTTTTCCTTCTCCTTCACCTGGGCTCGGCGTTATGACAATGTTCAGAAGACCGTAGGCGAGAGAGTGCGTAGATCGCTGATGCGACCGGAGCCACTCACAGGCGCGCCGCCACATATCGGATCCCATGGAGTGGGAACGTCAAAGGGGCCATATGGAATAGGAGCTATTGCAGTCTGAGTCACAGTTTACCAGTCGGCTGCTTAAAACAAAACACTGGGCTGGTCGGGAAATCCAAGTTCTCTCATCAGTTAGCGAACTTCCGAACCACGATTTTTTAGCGCAGAGATAGCTTGGATTGTTTATAATAAGGAAGATGCGCTGAGACGTCGACCGCACTTTCTACGCCCATTCCCAGACCCCAGTCATTGTCCAACCCGGTCAGTCAGGTGCGGAGAATTCGACAAGTTCATCTTCTGTGTCGCACGTAAGTCAGTGGCAGAGCAAGATCCATACGACTGGATCCACGTCATGACAGTGTGCATACCAAAATTGCCTATTGGCGAATATCAAAAAACTGTAGTTTTTAGTTCTGCCTTTGTCAACGCAGACTTTCAAATGCACATACGCTACGTACCTGTACTAATATACCGTTAAAGTTATGTATAAAAGTCCTTACATCCAGGTAGTCAATTTAGTATGAGTATAACAAAAGGAGAAAATTCGGGTTGTGCGTTCGAGGATCTTTTCGTCGGCCTGTCAAAGTCCACCCCCAACGTTACGCTGAGTGAGGCTACATCGATTCGGAATCTAACAACGAATTCCGATTTGTTGAAAATCGGCCTAGGGCATTTAACTTCAAGGGGCGTTTATGAAGGAAAAGCAATTAGGGTTTAATATGACACCAGAAGAAGAAATCTGGATGCTAAAAACGTGAGAAC